GCTGCAGCACTCCGGACTCAATATCGAGTTCAGTAATTTCAGGGCCTAAACTCTCCCATCCTGTTGTTTACTCTCTACCTCAAACCCCTCCCTTTTTCCTGCAATATTTTCCCAGCTACATTATCTCTGAGAAAGGGTCACCGCCCCTGAAACGTTAACTCTGATAACTTTTCCTTCACAGATGCTGCCAGACCCGCTGAGCTTTTCCGGCAACTTCTGTTTTTGTTCAGGACTTTCTGATAGGCCCCATCCGTGAAGGGGGCGGGTCCTGCCGCTGATTGACAGGCCACCCCGCCAACAGCGCACCTGCCGCGGCCGCGCGCCACAATTCATTTTGAAAAATACACGGATGACTTATTTTGAGAAACGAACTGTAGCAAAACCAACAGAGAGCGATTTACTCGTGAAACACAATCAAAGTGAAGGGAATTCGAGTGTAGAAAAGGGTCGGGAAAGCCATTACCTGACGCGGCACTAAACCAACAGACTCTGACAGGAAAGGGGCAGTTATTCCGTCGCGGGGCGGGGCTACGCACACTGAAGGGGCGGGACTCGGTGAACATGGGGGGGGGCGGGGCTGCGCGCGGTGGGGGCGAATGGGCGGGGTCAGGGGAAGCGGTGGGGTTGAGCATTGGGTGAGTGGGGATGGGCGTCGCCCGGGAAAGGGGCGGGGTTGTGCATGGGGTAAGGGCGGGGCACGGGAAATGGGCGCGGGCGGAGCGTGGGGAAGGGGCGGGGCACGGGTAAGGGGCGGGGCTCGGGGCTGAGAGTGGGCCAGAATTCAGTCCGGCGCCTCTGTGTCAGGCTTGCTGCAGTGCTCCAGCGAAACTCAGCGCCACCTGGAAGAACAGCACCTCCTTTTCCGCTTGGAAACGCTGCAGCCTTCCTGACTCAATATCGAATTGAACAATTTTAGGGCTTGAGGCAACCTCTACCATGTCCTTTACCCCCACCCACCAGGTCTTGTCATCACATGTAGATAGCAAGAACTGCTGATGCTGGAAGTTTGAGTTAATACAATGTGGAACTTTCCTGTTGTTAGAGATAACAAGGTGTAGAGCTGGATGAACACAGCAGGCCAAGCAGCATCAGAGGAGTAGGAAGAAGGGTCCAGGCCCGAAACGTCAGCCTTCCTGCTCCTCTGATGCTGCTTGGCCTGCTGTGTTCATCCAGCTTTACACCTTGTTATCTCAGATTCTCCAGCATCTGCAGTGCCTACTATCTCTGAAACCCTTTCCTGTTGTTGTTGTTGTCGTGGAACTTTCCTGCTCCCCTAATGCTGCCTGACCTGCTGTGTTCCTCCAGCTCTACACTTGTTATATCACATGGTCCTCTATTACACTCTACCCATTGTTAGCCACTAATAGTGCCCATTAGCAGCCATTCATTCTACAATGCTGACCATTACCCAACTGGTCTGTCTGCCCAGCTGTTCTGTCTCTCTCTTTGGGCTCTATCTCCAACTATCATTTACTCTCCCCCCTCCCCCACCCTATCTTCTCCATAAAAAGGATTTCCTAGCCACCATCAGTTTTGAAGAAGGTTCACTGGAACCGACAGGTTAATTTTGATTTCTCTCCACAGATGCTCCCAGACCTGCTGAGATTTTTCAGCAATATATGTTTGTATCATCAAATCTTAGGATAAAGGGATGCATGTAGGGGTGGGACTAGCACTGGGGGCAGAACAGTGTGGCTCACATGAAGGGGCATGGCAATGTGGAGAGGTGGACTAGATGAATGGATGGGGTACAAAATGGAAGCAGGGAGATGGTGGAAGGGACCTTGTAAATGGACAAGGCTAATGTGAGGAATGTGGTTGTATAAATGGGCGAGGATAATGGTGCAGCAATGTGTGTAGGTGGGTTTACATGATGTGGAGATGCCGGTATTGGACTGGGGTAGACAGTATCAAAAATCACATGACACCAGGCTATAGTCCAACAGGTTTATTTGAAAATGCAAGTCTTCAAAGCTCAGCTCCTTCCTTAGGCGTAATGTGAGAGAGAGGATAGAAGACACAGAATTTATAAGAAGAAAGGTAACAGCCCTAAAACAGGCCGCCTCTTGTTGAATCTTTAATCACCTGGGAAGGAGACTACTTATTAAAATGCAAAATCTAGATTCCTCTCAAGCCATTGTTTTGAGATAATTAAAGGTTTTATCAATGTATACAAGAGGTGACATCTCAGGTCAGAAAATGCAGTTTAGGTGTGAGGTCTTGCTTAGAATCTGTGCATTATTTAAACTGGGATCAGGTTTTATATTTTGAGCAAAAACAATGTATCTGCAGCTACACAAATGTCTTGGATGAGATAAATTCATGTGTGTGTCTGTGTATGTGTGTGCGTATCTGTGTCTGTGTGTGAGAAAGAGTGGGAGTGTGTGTGTGCGCGGTTGACGGAGTGAGAGTTGAGGGAATGTATGTGTATGAGTGTGTGTGTGTATACGTATGAGAGAGTGTGTGTGAGAGAGGGTCTGTGTAAGTGTGCGAGTGTGTGAGTGGAGGTATACAGTGTGTTTGGGTCACCTGTAGTGTGACATGAACCCGAGATCACGATTGAGGCCGTACTCATGGGTATGGAACTTGGCTATCAGCCTGTGCTCAGCGATTTTGCGTTGTTGTATATCTCAAAGTACACCTTGGAGGACATTTACCCGAAGATCCAAGGCTGAATGTCCTTGACCCCAAAGTGCTCCCCCAGTGGGAGGGAACGCCCTGTCCGGTGATCGTTGCGCTGTGTCCATCCATCCGTTGTCGTAGCGTCTGCATGGTTTCGGCATTCTTGCCTACAGCGTGTGAAAGGCAACGTTGGCCAAGTCACATGAGTATCAGCCATGTATGTGGTGGGTGGTGTTCCCTCATGTGATGGTAGTGTCCATGTCCAAGATCTGACATGTCTTGCAGCGGTTGCCGTGGCAGGGTTATGTGGTGTTGTGGTCGATGTTGTCCTGAAGGCTGGGTGGTTTGTTTAAGGTTTGGTGGTTGTTTGAAGGTGAGAAGTAGAGGCGTATGGAAGATCTTGGTGAGATGCTCATTGTCAATGACAAGGTGTTAAAGGCTGGGAGGGCTTTTACGTCAATGGGCGGGGTCTCCGTTGGGAGGCGGGGCCACGGAAATGGGGCGGGCCCTGGTGGAGAACGTGCAGCATGTTTAAAATAAAACTATCTAAAAGCTAAAATATTTTCGGATTGATCCGTCAGAAATATGTCAGAATTTACTTTAATCCTGCTTCACTTTTGTTCTGTTCTTTTTCTCGACGAGGCGGTGAAAGGTGAAAGGTCACGGCAGTGGGCGGGGCTTCCTCGGTAATGGCGGCAGGTTGACGGGAAGCTGCTCACAGTGTGAGAAAGCTGCGTACCGCGCTGGTGAGTGACTAGTTGCCTGTCGCTGACATGGAGGCTCGGTAACAGGCTCTAGGCTGATTATTAGCGGCGATGGAGGGGAGGCTGCGTGTTTGAGGCGCACGGGCACTCCCGGTCTGGCACCGGGTTAGGCAGCTGAGCCGGGGAAGGACCCCGGCCCCTGCGCCATCCCCAGCGTCACCAGCAGAGGGCAGCTCCCTCCACCCCGGGCACAGGGGAGAGCATTGCATTGTCCAACTGGATGGAGCTGTAAATACATCACATAACCTATATACACAGAATACAGTGTATAAAACAGATGGTGTATCTGTCTGGGACTGATGAGGATAGTGTAGGGAGAGAGAGAGCTTCACTCTATCTAACACCATGCATACCTGCCCTGGGATGTTTGATGGAGACAGTTTAGAGGGTGCTTTCAGTTTAATATAGAGGAGGCTTCACCTTGTAAGTAACTGACGTTTTGGAAATGTAAGGTTATTCACTTTGATAGAAAATCTAAATATTGTTCGATAAGTTGAAAACTGGTAAACGTTGATTGGGTGATTTCGTTTCATGAGAAAGTTGGAGAATTAACATGCAAGTAGAGCAAGCATTTGGGTGGGGAAATGATATGTGTTTTTTAATCGCAACAATGTTGGAATACAGATTAATGTTGGAGCATTGGAGGCTGTGGGGGTGACTTTATAGAAGTTTATAAAATCACGAAGGACACGGATAGGGTTAATATCCAAGGTCTATTTCCCAGTGTAGGGGATTCCAAGATATAGGGCATGAGTTTAAGCTGAGAGGGGAAAGATTTAAAAGGGACCTAAGGTACAACTTTTTCATGCAGAGGGTGGTGCCTGTACGGAATGAGCTGCTGGATGATGTGGTGGAGGCAGATATAGTAGGGGTTTAGAGGGATACGAGACAAATGCTGGCGAATGGGACTAGATTAATTTAGCATATCATTAAACCTATGCCCTCTATTTTGGACTGAAGGGTCTGTTTCCATGCTGTACAGCTCTATGACTAACACAGTCTTACTCAATTGTATGGACCTTTGTGAGATTGCATCCGGAGTAGTGTGTACAGTTTTGTCTCCATACCTAAGAAAGAATACACTTACCTGATGCAAACAAGGTTCACTTGATTTACTCCTGGGATAAGGGAATTATTCTACGTGGAGAGATTTGGTAGAATGGATCTATACAGAGTTTAGAAGAAAGCAAGCTGATCAAATTGAAACAAGGTTCTGATAGCACTTGACTTTGTAGATGCTGAGGAGTAGATACACCTGGCTGGGGAAATCTAAAACATGGCACGACCTCGGGATAAGTGGATGACCATTTGGGACTGAGATGAGGAGAAATGTCTTCTTTCATAGGGTTGTGAAGCTTTGGAATTTTTTCTACTCTTCCTAGCCTCTGTCTGAACTGAGCCAGACCATTCATAACCTTGCCATCCAATTTGATCTACCTATTTCTAAGGCGCTCCTTCCAACCTCCACCTTTGCAACAATGTTTTGGTCTGCTGTCCTACCTGGCACCTCCTTTTGTAACTGTCAAATTGTTTGACTCATTCTCCTGGAAAGTACCTTGGGAATGTTTTATTATATTCAGGGTGCTAAGTAAACACAAGTTGTTCTTGTTTCTTATTATTACATCTCACCCTTCATTCACTCAACATTAATTTGCTTTTCTTCCCAAGTAGAATTACTGAGCTTGCAATGGCTGCTGTGGGTTTTAAACGAGAAGGTCCACAGTTTATCAGCGAGTTAGCAGTGCGAGGAAATGCTGCAATCCTGGACTATTGCCGTACGTCTGTGTCTGCACTGTCAGGTGCCACTGCTGGGATCCTGGGGCTGACAGCACTGACGGGTTTCATCTTCTATTTTGTTGCCTCCTTCCTCCTCTCTGTGCTGCTGATTGTGAAAGCTGGGCGTCGCTGGAGCAAGTACTTCAAATCCCGCCGCCCTCTCTTCACTGGAGGCCTTGTCGGTGGCCTCTTCACCTACATCCTGTTCTGGACCTTCCTGTACGGGATGGTACACGTTTACTGAAGCAAGAGATGGCCTCCTGCTCCCGTCGGACAATTGGAATGGCACAAACACTTTTCACCCTCACCTGCGTCCACTTGTTGAATCTTACAAATTAAACCTGTCATCGTCACAACCTGCACAAATACTGTTCCCAGCTGTGAGGTCAAATAGTACTTTAGGTTCTGTTGTCTTTAAGTTTTGTGTGGTTGGGTTGATCACTGAAACCGTACATTTTCAAATGCCATGGGAATGTTGGAGTCCCCCATTCCGAATGTCGTAAAGCAGCTGAAGAGCTTGTCAGCCAGAGTGTTCCTCAGTGAGGGGAGTTGTGGAACTGGCTAGTTCTTGTTGATGGAGACTCCTGGGCAGAGGTCAGATTTTGAATTCTTCTACCATGTTGTGAAGAGTATTTGTTGAAAAAGTGGAGGGGATTTTCCCTGGAATTCCAACCTCCCCCTTCATTACCTGCCTCCACTTAACTATTTAGAATGTGCTGTGACAGAGATCCAGCCACCCTTAATTGCACACAGTGAGTATCCCCTTGATCATTGGCGTTGACCTTCCCTCCACCAACAGGGGGTCTGTGGCCATTGCCTCTTGTGTCATGCCCCAACATCTGGCTCAAGGCTCCTGTACTCTGTGCAGGACAGTTAATATTCATCTGGCATGCAGTGCCTTTTGGCATTTTGTCCTTGCTGTATTGTTTATTCAGTGCAGGCCATCCTCATGAGCCATGCAATTCTCAGGAGGTATTCTTGACAGAAACTGAAGGGTTCCCACAAGAATGGCTCTGTGTGGAGAAGGGATTGGTTGGAGCACTGACTGTCAGTCTTTGAGATTTGGCAGTTTCTGTATCATACCAAGTTTATTCTATGGTTCACATCTCTATTTGGGGAAAACGGAAGACTGGGAAGTTGCTGAAATCTCTTGAGTGCAGACAGATTTAAAATGACATCCTGGAGCATAGCAGAGAAGGCTAGAATTGGTTTCACTGTGACATAGATTTTGAACTTGTTAACAGCCTGAGAATCAGGGATTTACAATTAAACTATTTTGTTACTACTGATGGTAATTGAAATGTTTTTAACAAGAGACATTTGCCCATTTTGTGGGAACCACTGAATGTTTCAGAAAAGTAGCAAATAACCTTAATTTGTGTTCCCAGGCTGCCTGCCTGCATTTTACAACAATAAACTCAACCTGGCTGTTAACATTCAGTTCTGCCTGAGTTCATAATTTTTAAGTCTGGCTTGAGCTTGGTAATAATTGGGGTTATATCACTGAGATGTTCTTAGTGCAGCAGAGCCTTTAAAATAAGTGTTCCTCAGTGAAGGACTTACCTGCAGACTTCATAGATTATTCAGAGGGAGGTATTTCTGACATCAGACATTTGGTCTTATTATAAGACACTGCCATTTTAAACACTTAGCGATTTTCATTATGACACAGACTGGAAACAGACGTCAAAGTGCCCTGTTTATTTCAGGCAGAAATAGTCATATTTACTCACCAGTTTACACCTCCCAGTCTTGATCTACTTGCTTGATGCAAGATGCCTGCAATTTTTCTTGGTCACAGGATTAAAAGCATCTTAAAAAATTGGCTGGTCAACCATTTAAACCACACTGACATTACTTTTGATAAGAATATTTAGGGCTGAAGTGGGAGAAGGCCCTTGACTGGATGGCATAGACTCAGTGGTGTCCTATGCTCTAAATCGGTGTCTGTCAGGAGGGTGGAACTGCAGAACTCTGGGTCTTCTGCCTTGTCAGAGGAGTATTAAAAAGCCTCACTTTGTCCCTTCAGCTGGACATTAACACCAAGTTACTGCTGCGCCTGGTAACCTGTGCCTTAATTAAAACAAAGACACTTCTAGAAGCACTTTGAGGAAGGGTCACTCGACCTGAAATGTTAACTCTGATTCTTCTCCACAGATGCTGCCAACCTGGTGAGCTTTTCTGGCAATTTCTGTTTTTGTCTAGAAGCACTTTGTTGGCCATAAAGCAGTTTGAGATGTCCTGAGGTGGTTAAGGGCACAGTCACCATCTAACTGAATGAGAAACATGCACAATCAATTGTTACAAAATAACTTTATTCTGAGCTTTTTGCATTTTTACGTTCATGAACTTGTTACAAGTGGAACCAGTGACTGAGAGCAGCAACTGCTTAAAAAACAATCTAATTTTTTTAAAAAAGCAACGCATTGATTATAACAATGTGAGGATTCCACTGACCCGTCCTGAGTACATGGCTCGCTTAATTGTGCTCGGAGCTGAAACCTTAAAAAAGAGTGCTGGGGGTAGTGCTTGCTGTATGAGTTTGCACTTTAGGCTGAGGGTCTGGTTAGGGAGCTTAACACTTGCTCAAAAGCAAGTTGAAAGGTGGGATGGGGTAATGGAGTATTGTGTGCAGACCCCACAAACTCTCCTCTAAGTAGCCACTCCCCTGCAAACCTGGGCAAAGAAAACCGTAAAGAGGGTTATGTGAAGCAAATTTCCCACAACCACTAAACATTACCAAAAGGAAGCTGTACCCCAGTATCAAAGCTCAATTCTGCAAATTTCCCACAGGGTTAAATGATAAAACACTGAATTAGCACAGATGGATTCTGTAGTTTTTCCTCTCTGATTGGCTGCTTTCTTAGTATTGTTCCTATGGGTTTCTACATTCTCAAAACGAAATAATAATGCTTTTATTGAGGATGTTATCTGGAGCTCATTCATTCCCTCTGATCACTCTTCAGAACTGAAGTGAGAACTTAAAGGGGCTGTGTTGTGTTCCAGGTAACATCACAAGGCTCCCAGCCTCTCCTCCCTAGTAATAGACTTTGTCTATAAACAGGGACTGATACAAACCTGAATCACCCAGTGATCATGCATAAACAGGCCTCAGCAGAAAGCACCAAAATAAATCAGGGACTATCCCGTAAACAGGACCCAATGGAGATAGAGACCAGTCAATTGTGTTAACTGATTCATTGCTCTCTGGGCTATTATTGGCGTTTTCATAGTCATTTGGCTAAAGTTTCCAGAACTTTCATTTTTGGTAAAGTGGAAAGGAAAATAATTTGATGCTCAATTTTTAAAATATCACGATTACAGCTGAAAGACAAACAGTAAATTACAAATTTTACAGTTACTACAAAACAGTGCAGCTTTAGTGTGAATATTAATTACATCAGTTTATTAAGCTTTTAATAACTTCTTTTTTACACAATTTTACAGCAGCTGAAAGTGCCTAGGGTTATGAGAGTCTGGTGGAGGACAGCAAATGGCTGTGTAATGTCCAGCACTATATTCCTCTTGAAGCCCACCATATCCTCTCTAAGGAGGCAAACAGTGAGAGAATCAATCCACCAATCTCTGGCCTCACTTGCGTTTCCCGAACAGTGACTTCTTGCCTGACGCTTTATCGCCAGAAATGAGCTTTGACCCAATCAGCAGACGTGCCTTCTCATCCTTCTCTTGTTGCTGGATACTACCATCTGCTTTAAACTCTGTGCTCCTTCCCCTTGCCTCCAATCCTGAGGTTGGTTTCAAACGGAGTTTCTCCTTTATTACCTGTGGAGGGTTGGGTAAAGTGAAGGGATGACATATCGAGAGAAAACCTGGTGCTTCTATAACAGTTTTTATCCAAGACAGATGAAACATTCAGTTTCAAATTCCTTTACAATCTAGAGAGGCACAGGGAATTGCTAAGTATTTACAGCACAGCAAATGCTTGTTCAGCCTAAATGAGCTATGTTGGCATACTAAAAGCAAAGTACTGCAGATGTTTGAAATCTACAGTAACAACAGTAAGTACTGGGAATATTCAGCAGGTCTGGCTATATCTGTTGAAAAAATGACTACAGTGACTATTAATACAAAATGATGATATAGGTCTTAATGCACCTGGACAGGTTTGAGGGGGACCACGGGTCACAACTAAATTAATGGCATGACCGGGTTAGACAATGACCATAAGAATTAGGAGCAGGAATAGGCAATTCAGCCCCTCGAGCCTGCTCTGCCATTTGATACGACAGACACCAGAAGATTGCTCTCTCCCAGAGAATGTGGTCTCACTGGAACAGGCCGGGGGCAAGTGCTGAAAATGTCACTTTCTGAATCCCTTTAAGTGAGAACTGGCTGAAATTTAAATCATTTTGTACAAGAGGTGGGAAATGCTGTATCGTAAATCAGAAATCTGGACCAGTTTCAGATGCTGTGGCTGAATTTTTATCTGCATTTCTTCATCTCCAAAGAGATTAAAAGGTATGTCTCGATCATGCTTCACAGGATCTTGCAGCCATTATGCACAGACTGGATGAACCAGTGTTACTCAGTGTTGCAAGTTCAGCGTGAACTCAACACTGTAATTCACACAAGAGCAGCAGGGCACAGGATCACTGGAATGCGAGGTCACCGAGCGCTGATATGCCTGTTCTGGCAGAGTCTCGTGGACAAATAAGCATGAGGGGAGACTGAATAAAACCATCCTTAATGTTCAAAGTGAGTTTCCATGACAACACAATAGGGTTTAAGTGGTTTATCGGGAAATGTCTCAATGAGAATGGGGCTTAAAAAGGGTGAATATTCTCTCTCAGCTTAATTCTTCTAACGGAAAGGAAACAGACAACCCAGCAGAGACATGGAAGGCCTGGAAAGACAAACCTGAGCAAGCAGAGCCTTACGACTGTCCCTCTTGACAGCCATAGCAAAGTCCAGCCAGGTCCATGTGTTGTTGTGGTATTCCAGGCAGGGCAGAACCAGGTTGAAATCCTTCCAATCCTCAATGTTCTTTTCACCCTGAAACAGATACAAAGTCAGGACCTTTCCACCATCAAATCCGAAGGCCACATAGAGGCAGAATGAGTGAGAAGATACTATCACTGGGTATCCAAGATACTTTATCCCCATGAAACATTTCCAGGTCAGGTTCAGTATGGGGTTAGATATACAGTCAAGCTTCCTTTACACTGTGTCCATTAAACACACCCAGGATAGTAACAGCATAGGGTAGATACAAAGTAAAGGTTCCTCTACTCTTTGAAACAGAAAGTGAATGCCCCTCAACACTGTCTCCTTCAAAAACTCCAGGGCAGGTACGGCACGGAGTTAGATACACAGTAAAGCTCTGCATGCACTTTTTGACAGTTGTCTTACCTTGTAGCTGACACAGAGGGGGACCTGTGGAATCTTCACGTAGATGAAGGAATTATTCATCGCAGCTCTCTCCTTCATCTTATCAATGTCATCCACTGGATGCTGTGGGGTAGAAACAAGAGTAAACGCACACTGTGACTGATCATAAAATCCTGTTCCTGATTATCCTGGGAGGCTAAATTAATAAAGGTTTCTATTGCTGATTATTATGTAGTCAGTGGCTAGTGGAATATCCATAGATGTGAGTGTGGGAGGACAGTGCAAATGTCATCTATTCCAACCCTCCGTCAGATTTACACAAGCCATTTCTGGGTATAAAAGTGAGAAGTTTAAGAGAATGAGAGGTGGTCTCATTGTAACATACAGGATTCTTAAGGGCTTGACAGGGTAAATGCTGAGATGTTTCCCCTCATGGGAGAGTCCAGGACCAGAGAATATAGTCTCAGAATAAAGGGACATCAATTTGAGACTTCTTCTCTCAGAGGATTGAGAGTCTTTGGATCTCCTTGCCACAGAGAGCTGTGGGGGCAGATTCCTTGTGTATATTTAAGAATGAGATAGATAGATTCTTGATCAATTAAGGGTTCCAGGCAAAATGCAGGAAAGTGGACAAGAAGAATGTCAGATCAGCTGTGATCCAGTTGAATAGCAGAGCAGGCTCGAAGGGCTGAATGGAGTACTCCTGTTCCTATTTGTTATGGTAAGTGCAGTAAACCCACTGGTGGGAATTCTGGCAGGATTTCAGAATGTTGATGCTCAGCCCTATTTTCTTCAATCCAGTCACAGTGTTGGAGGCATGGGATCAAAGGAAGGACTTCCCTCAGACTAATCCATCTATTCGCAACATGGAACATCAGGAGCTAAGTTTCATCAGACTGGATGATGAAGAAAACCCAGGAATCAGGAATACTGTCCCAGGATGCCTCCTAAGAGCAATTATTAAGCAAAGTTTGACATCGAGCCATATATGCAGATAGTAGGTCATGACCAAAAGCTTGGAGAGAGAAGAGGAGTTAAGAAAGAAATCCCAGAGCTTGATGCCCAGATAAATGAAGGCATGGCTGCCAACGGTGGACTGATGAAAATCATTAGTACAAAAAGTAAAAGATGGTCTTAGATCAAAAATTAAAAATGTTGACTAAAACAAAGAAACATGGTTGGTGGAAATCTGAAACAAAAACAGAAATTGCTCGAGAAACTCAGCAGGTCTGGCATCATCTGAAAAGAAAACAGTTAATATTGAGTCCAGTGACCTTTCTTCAGAATTGATACAGAATCTGTTTTTGTGGAGTGAAGAATTAACAAGCAACAGCAAACATTGGTGGGAGCTGTTTGTCAACCACATATTGAGCAAAGTATACATCAGGCAATTAGAGACACATTAACATGGGTAAGACAGTGATAATGGGTGACTTCAATTTACATGTTGTTAAACCTACTCAGCACTAATGGTATGAAAGATAAATTCCTGAAATGTGTACAAGATGACTTTCAGGAGCAGTATGTCCAAGAACCAATGAGGGACTGGGCTGCTTTAGATTTAGTATGATGTAATGAAAAAAAGCTAATTAATAACTTTGCTGTAAAGGAGCCTTTGTGTAATACTGACCATAATAAGACAGAATTTCACATTGAATTAGATCAAATTCAAATTTAAGCTGAAACTAGGATCTGAAATCTGAACATAGGAAACTGTGAGAGGCAAATTGGTTTTGGTGAATTAGAAAAATACACTAAAAGATCTGATGGTAGACAGGCCATGGCTGATATTTAAAGAAACACTACCTGGTCTACAACAGATCAAAGGCATTTTCTAAGGCACAAACACTTAAAGAGCAAGGTGAAATAACTGTGGCTAATGAAAAGAGTTAAAGAATGTATTAGATCAAAGGAAGTGGGTTATAAGGATGTCAGAAAATGTGGTAAGCCCAAAGACTCGGAAACCAGCAAAGGAGTACCAAGAAACTGACAGTGGAGATTATTGAAGAAACCGAGGCAGGAGAAGACTATGGTGATTGTTAAAGAATCCGGGTTGAGACAAAAACTATCACTCTGATTACTTGAGGTGAAACTGACCCACCTCTGGAAGCTTCCTGAAAGATCTCCTCACTCCAGAACCCCTGTTTAAACCAGCAGAGACTCCTTTCCCAGTTGCCAGGGTAGCAGGCTCCTCAGGTACCATCAGCTGGCGAGACTTCACATTAACTGTGATCCCTGCTCAGAAAATCAAACTTGGAATGAAAATGGAGAGTGTACATCGACCGACACAAACCCCAACCCCTGGACAAACACCACACAAACACCCACGCACAAAACACCCACAGGAACATCGAAGCTGTCTGACCTTACTGCCCTCTCCATCCCATCACACCATACAAGCTACATTCTGCATTTCCTCAGGGCCTCTACCTGTTGTCACCAGTTTGGATTTATCTTCTTCATCAGCCCCTGTTTCATCCTCTTCAACATTTCGCCCAGGAAAGAAGAAACCCATCATCCTCCTGAAAAACTGGTACGTTAGCTGAATGGTGAGTGGGACGACATTCACCTGCGACGGGGAGTCAAAAGATTGTTTGTCAGTGCAGCCACACAGTAACCCAACTCCCTAACACCCAGTGTCTCCTTGATCCTCTGCTCCCCACAACCTCAACCCGTTACCCAACTGCTCCCCCAATGTCATGCTGACTGTTCTCCCAATCTCACTCCAACACCTGACTGCCACTCTGTTTCCTCCCCTGACCACACCCTAACAGCCAACTTACTGACACCATCAACCTCTTGATGAGAGATTCTCCTTGCTTAGAATCTCTTCCACAAACTTTTCCATTGGGATATACCCGACCCCCTGCCCAGACTGACTTTAATACACTCTCCCACCTTTGCCACTGTTAGGTGTTGATTGAAAAGGATAGAAGGTTACCAACACTTTAGGAAGTTAAAAGCTGAATGTGGAGGTGAGCAAAGGCATCCCATGATATGGCAAAGATATCATTAAAACTAACATTAGTTAGCAAAACTATTTAAAGACCTAATGAAGAATCACAAAATCACCACAATGTGGAAGCAGGCCATTCGGCCCATCGAGTCCATGCAAACCCTCCAAAGAGCATCAGATGCAGACCCACATCCCTAACCTATCCCTGTAACCCTACATTTCCCACTACTAATCCACCTTGCCGGCACATCCTCAAACACTATGGGCAATTTAGCATGGCCAAACCACCTAACCTGAAATAGTAGGAACTGCAGATGCTGCAGAATCCGAGACAACAAGGTGCAGAGCTGGATGAACACAGCAGGCTAAGCAGCATCATAGGAGCAGAAAGGCTGACGTTTCAGGCGTAGACCCTTCATCAGAAAACCTAATCTGTGCATCTTTGGACTGTGGAAGGAAACTGGAGCATCTGGAGGAAACCCATGCAGACACGGGGAGAATGTGCAAACTCCACACAGACAGTTGCTGGAGCCTGGAATCGAACCTGGGTCTCCGGCACTGTGAGACAGCAGTGCCAACCATTGAGCCACCGTGCCATCCACTAGGATTTAGTTTGAAAAAGGTACAAAATTGCAAAGAAACAAAAGTACTGTTAAAATTGTAGAACTGCCAGTCAGACCACACTTGGATAACTACATAGTTTGAGTTCCTTTATCAAAAGAAGGTCATGAAAATGCTGGCGAAGGATTTACAAGGATTGTGTCAGAGTGAAGAGATTACAACCACCTGCAAAGGAAGACTGATCAGGTTATAGCTTTTGCTCTGTTTAAAGAAAGTGATCCAATTAAGGGTTTTAAAATAATGAATTTGTTCAGCAGGTCAGATCCAAAGACAATGATTCGACTTTGGGAAGAATCCAAAACCAGGCCCATTAATACAAGGAAGTTATAAAAAATTAAAATAATGGAATAAGGAAAACTTTATTTGGAAAATGGTTAGAATTTGGTTGTCCCTGGCATAGGGAGTGATTGGAACAAAGTTTCAACATGAAGCTAAATGAGTAAGTGACAGAAAAGGGAATTAAAAGGTTTGCTGAAAAGACTGCGACAAGTGAGACAAGAGATGTAAAAACACGAGCACAGAGTGGTTGGGCAAAATGGCCCATTTATGCTCTAAATTCAATGTAGTTGTATCCTCCATGTGTAACATGGAGGCACAGTGAGCAGTCTCCCTGCCTCTCAGCCAGAAACCCTGGGATTCAAGTCCCACTCCAGCATTTGATGACCAAGGAAGGTGTGTTTATAACAATGGCCAAACCAAATTGCTCAGAGAATCAGATGATTGGCCTCCTGCATTTTGACAGTCTACACTGGCTCTCTGAGCAGGCTATTTATCAATTTGTTGATCTTTAAAACACATGTCAATGACAGGCAGTAAGAGCAGGATATATTCCCGGTCAGCCACATGAAGAAATCCATCACTGACCACAGCTCCAGGTTACAACCTGCATGTAAGTGCCACAACAATG